CAATGCACACAGTCTACTAAGTGAAAATGTTCTCTATACATCTAATTTGCCTTATCGCAGCGACTGGAAACTCACTTTGCTGATGATTCAGCACAGAGGTATTCTCTGTGTAAGGTTATCAAGGGTAACTTACAAGGATAAACAACCTCCTAAATGAAACTGCTGAGACAGTCATATTTTCTTATGATCCTTCTTTAACCCATGATAGTTCATATTTGTAACTCAGTACTCTGTTGAGGCAAAATACTGGCTTTGAACTTTTTCTGAAATCTTTCTTAATTCTGTTAGACCTACATTGGGACCCTCCTGGTGTCAGTTAATCCATATAAGGAGTTGGGTATCTATACCAAGAAACAAATGGACATTTATATGGGGGTCAACTTTTTTGAGCTGCCTCCTCATATGTAAGTTTGCATATATACACAATCTGCATTGTAAAAAGCTCTATATAAATAATGGTGACTTGACCTGACTTGACTATACACAGGAAAAATACACCGTCGTTCAAAAGTCTGGGGTCATTATTATAATATTTCATAATATTACTGTTTTTTTTGTATTTTTCAAAAAATTCTGACTTTGTGAGCATAAGAGACCTTTCAAAAACATAAAAAAATCGTACTGACCCAAAACCTTTGAAGAGCACTGTATACACTGTATACATATATTCTTTTTTTAAAGAACATTGATATTGATACGTTGTTTATTTTACATGTAGTTTAAGAGTTATTTTTCTGACCTCTCAGCTTTGCTCTTGCTGACAATGTTTACCGGACAATGATTAGTGAAACCAACAACCACTTCATCCTCATTTCTGGTGAAAGTGGTGCTGGCAAGACGGAGGCCTCTAAGACAGTCCTGCAGTTTTATGCAGTGTGCTGTCCCAGCACTAGACTCTTGGACAATGTGAGAGATCGGCTCCTTCTTTCCAATCCAGTGCTGGAGGTCAGAATTCAAGCTTTTTGTCTGAAATGAGCCATTGAAAACTTTGGTATATTCTGAATGCACATGCTCAAAGTGTAGCATAGTATCATGTAAAAGAATATTGATGCTGAGCGTTTTTTATCTACAGGCTTTTGGAAATGCCAAAACCCTGAAAAATGACAACTCGAGTCGATTTGGAAAGTACATGGACATACAGTTTGACCATCAGGTAAAGTCAGATTTAAACAGAAGTAGAAGAACGGACAGCATTGATTACAAATGTAAACAAATGCTTTTTTTCTTTCAGGGAGCAGCAGTTGGTGGCCACATCTTAAGCTACTTACTGGAGAAGTCAAGGGTGGTCCACCAAAATCGTGGAGAAAGGAACTTCCACATCTTCTATCAGTTAGTTGAGGGAGGGGAGGATGAGCTTCTCCGCTGGCTTGGCTTGGAGCGAAACTGTCAGAAATATCGATATCTTATTCAGGTGAGAAGCGCAGATAGATGCATTGACATGTCGGAGCCATAAAGCATATTCATTTTATTGTTCAAAATCGATTTTCTGGACAGGGAGAATGTGCCAAAGTGAGCTCCATCAATGACAAGAGTGACTGGAAAACCGTACAGAAAGCTCTTACTATCATTGAGTTTAGTGAAAAGGATATAGAGGTAAGACGCTCTCAGATTGATTGGAGTTAGAGCATGTTAATTATAGTTTTTGTCCACTTGGATGACTGGGTCAGTGTAGAAGGCTGCTTTTTAGAAAGAGAAGTCATTGTTTAATATGTTTGGTCTTTTTTAGCATCTGTTTGCAATTATTGCCAGTGTCCTTCATCTCGGCAATGTTCACTTTGAGGCCAGTGCCCATGGTTATGCCACATTATACAGCAGTGCGGAAGTACACTGGCTGTCAAAGGTACTTTCCACCGACACTT